AATATTAACTACTAACTTACTAATTTTAATACTAGTTACTAATCAACTCTATTAATTGTTAATAATATATCTAATTTACCAACACTAATGCTATTCAACTAACAGATTAATACTATTGCTAACCTAACTCTAATTATACCAGTAATTCAAATAACATATTAGTTTAGTAAGCTATACTTTTTAGTTAAAAGTAATTAGTAAGCATTAAAAGCAATAAATATTCAATTTACATGCATATACATATCTCAATAACGTATTACACTTTAAAAAGAATAAGGAATTTGATTTTTTTGATGCTATTTTTCGCAGCCAGCTTTATTATGTCCAGATTTATGGCACTGCTGACATTCAGTTGGTTTTTGCTCTTTAGTTTTCTGATGCTCTTTATTTTTTTGTTTTATCTCTTGTGATCCCTTAAACCATGTTTTGTGTGGAGCACCTTTTCTTGCGTAAACAATAGGATTCTGAATTAATAATGGGTCTATATTCTCAGTATCTTGAGAATATGATTCATTATTATCATTATAATTTGAGTCAGAAGATTCACAACAGTCAGATTCATCAGAACTGCTTTGTATATTATAAGTTTTAGCTGATAACGTTCTTTTAGGGTTTCTTCGAGATGATTCTTCTTTAGAGTTTCTTCGCAGTAATTTTTGATTATTCTTTGGCGCGTGTTTTGTTATAAAGTCCTTCATAAAACTGTTTAACTCTTGTATTGCCGATGGTCCTACATCTAATCCTATTTGAATCGCTTTTTTTGAAAGTCTATTAGCCGTTACATATTTCTTTTGTTGATTTAAAGATTTATAAACACGTTTATAAGGAATATTAACAATATTATAAAGTATTTCTAGATAAGTTTCATTATATATAGTAGTATCAGTAAATTCCTGAAAACTATCAATAAAAGATTGTTAACAAAGAATTGAGGTAGGTTCACGTTGTTTTTTATCTTTATACCATCATTTAGATATAAGCATTATATGAAATTTCACATATATTGAATTTTCTAATAGGCGAAAAAAATATCGGCATACAATACCACATCGGACAAGTTCAAGACAAGTACAAAGATGAGATTTATCATTAAAAAGAACAACATAATTTTTTTTTGTACATCTATAATAAACAAGTTCCCAAATCTCAACAACATCATCAACTTTATTTATTGGAATAAGTTCTTTTAAAAGTATTAATGGAATATCAACAGTATCTTCTGCAAAATTAGTATTAGATAATTCAATCTTATCCTCAATTTCAAAGGTGTAATTCTTATCAATTTGTTGTGGAGAATACCAAATAGCTTGTGATATTTCTTGTCGTTGTATAAAGAGAACAGCAGGAGTTAAATAGTCAACTATCCATGTATCAATAATAGGTGAAAAATCATGACTTGAATGTATAAGTATTGAACCAGTAATGGAATGAGCCCAATTTTTATATTGTATTATAGTAGATATATGATTAATACTTTTAAAAGAACTTATTCCAATAAATAAAGTTGATGATGTTGTTGAGATTTGGGAACTTGTTTATTATAGATGTACAAAAAAAAATTATGTTGTTCTTTTTAATGATAAATCTCATCTTTGTACTTGTCTTGAACTTGTCCGATGTGGTATTGTATGCCGATATTTTTTTCGCCTATTAGAAAATTCAATATATGTGAAATTTCATATAATGCTTATATCTAAATGATGGTATAAAGATAAAAAACAACGTGAACCTACCTCAATTCTTTGTTAACAATCTTTTATTGATAGTTTTCAGGAATTTACTGATACTACTATATATAATGAAACTTATCTAGAAATACTTTATAATATTGTTAATATTCCTTATAAACGTGTTTATAAATCTTTAAATCAACAAAAGAAATATGTAACGGCTAATAGACTTTCAAAAAAAGCGATTCAAATAGGATTAGATGTAGGACCATCGGCAATACAAGAGTTAAACAGTTTTATGAAGGACTTTATAACAAAACACGCGCCAAAGAATAATCAAAAATTACTGCGAAGAAACTCTAAAGAAGAATCATCTCGAAGAAACCCTAAAAGAACGTTATCAGCTAAAACTTATAATATACAAAGCAGTTCTGATGAATCTGACTGTTGTGAATCTTCTGACTCAAATTATAATGATAATAATGAATCATATTCTCAAGATACTGAGAATATAGACCCATTATTAATTCAGAATCCTATTGTTTACGCAAGAAAAGGTGCTCCACACAAAACATGGTTTAAGGGATCACAAGAGATAAAACAAAAAAATAAAGAGCATCAGAAAACTAAAGAGCAAAAACCAACTGAATGTCAGCAGTGCCATAAATCTGGACATAATAAAGCTGGCTGCGAAAAATAGCATCAAAAAAATCAAATTCCTTATTCTTTTTAAAGTGTAATACGTTATTGAGATATGTATATGCATGTAAATTGAATATTTATTGCTTTTAATGCTTACTAATTACTTTTAACTAAAAAGTATAGCTTACTAAACTAATATGTTATTTGAATTACTGGTATAATTAGAGTTAGGTTAGCAATAGTATTAATCTGTTAGTTGAATAGCATTAGTGTTGGTAAATTAGATATATTATTAACAATTAATAGAGTTGATTAGTAACTAGTATTAAAATTAGTAAGTTAGTAGTTAATATT